CTAAAAAAAAATTCATTTTTAAAACTCTTATAGAAAAGCTCTTATATTTTGGTTCATAAAAATATAAATACTTAGTGGTAATTTTCCCTCAGAACTACCTATCCAGTATATATACCCCTTCGAATTTTACAAGACGCTCCCTCAAATTTGAATTTTTGGAACGATTCTTTCAATCTGACAGCAAATTTCACTCAGATCTAAATTTTCAGAATGTTCTTTTGCTATGTTATTAATGTAGGACGGAACAGTGGCGCTCAACAAACACACACGTGCACACATACACGTACACGCGCGCACACACCCATACAGAGGTACACACATATACACATATCAAACCATCTCAGAGCGACTAAAGCCTTGTTAAGTGCCTCTGTCGGGAACTGAAAATGCCTTCAGGAGATGGAATGGATGCCAGAATCACCAGCAGTTAGCCATCAGCCAACGCAGTACTGGTCAAAGTAACTAGATGATTTGCCAGATGTATAATTAGAGAATCAGGCAACGAATTACAGCTAATCCAAAGATCCCGAATAAAAGTATAAATAATAGCAGATTTTTAAATCTCGCTGCAAAATTTAACTATTTGTGCCAGAAAAAAGTATTCAGTCGGATGCTAGCTATTTAAGTGTTTGCTTAGAGAAAAAAAAAAACACTGAAAAGAGACCGTCGTATTCAGGAAAATAGTCGGCCAGATGCGAATAAAGTATTTTTTCCTCCAAGAGATCTCTCTTATTGAGAAATAAGATTACAGATGAATTTGTGAACCATGGATATGTGATGATCGTGCGGAATAATGCCTTTGATTCTTCCATTCGATTCTGCAACAAAAATCCATGTTTGTCAAAAACATTTAACAAACGTTTTTATAACCGGAAAGCAAAAGACTATGTTATCTGTTGTTGGTTTAAAACTGTTTTATAAGCTAACGAATTTTAATAGAAACAGGCTCTATTCTACATCCAGCAATATTTCCAAGAACAGACGAAAATCCCACTTTTGAACGAGGAAAAATGCGGATGAAAAAACAAAAACAGCATACTGTGTCACGGCACAGGCGAGTCCAGGACAGACTCCGGAGGAGGGCAGGGGAGCCTCCCGCCCTGGAGCTAGAGCTGTAAGACTGCTACTTAGAGTTACTTTAGTTTTATTTATGAATAGACCCGGGCTTCCGCAGCACTGGTGCCTGGCGAAAGACCCTTCGCTCCCCTTTCTTCCTCCTCCTTTCCCCCCGCTCCTAGATCTACTTATATGTTACACTACAGTCCAATCTGGCATGATGTGCTTGGCATAAGGAGATATTTCAATAACCTTAAAACTCTGGGCTGACTATCCGGGCGACCTCTCTGCCCATGATCCGTGGCAACTCAAGGTAGGCAGGTACATCGTCTCTTGAATAAAGAAAGACAA